ATTAGTGACTAACCCCATATCTTAATTACGCGACTCCCCTTGAACGTGTCTAACCTCAACATACCTATGAAAGTGATGGCAATGTTGAAAACAGTGAGAAAATGAAATCTCAAGAAAATTAGATTTTTTAACGTAAAGTTTTCATGGCCTTCGGTTTTAAAGTTTTATTACCATGCAAGACGAAAGAAATTCCAAAAAAAATTCCAATAAAATCTAAAGGAGCCTAATTTTTCTGATAAAAAGTATAAAAATAATAATTAAACAACTCAGATGGTCTTGTTCTTTACGAATTTTGACATCTTTATGCAAAACTCCTCAATTTGGAAGCGATTTGCTCCTCTCTGATGAACTCCGTTAAACCTTAGAGAATGTTGATGAGTTACATCCTGTAGAAACCAGAGTAAGAACTCTCGAAAATATCAAACCTTTCCATTTCTTCGTATATTTTCCCTTTCCGCTGTTGTTATAGAACTTTTAAAACCAAAGACCATGAAATTTTTCATCTTACATGAGCTCCATTTCAATGACCCTCGAATTTTCCTATTCCATATCGTAATAGAAGTTTTAAAACCGAAGACCATGAAAATTTTACGTTGAAAACTACTTTTCTTGAAATTTCATTTTCTCACTATTCTTATCTTTGCCATCACTTTCATAGGTAAGTTGAGGTTAGTCACAATTAAGGGGAGTCGCGAAATTAAGATGAGGTTAGTCACTAATGAGGTCACTTCGCACCTTGGCGCGAAGCAATGTCATTCGAGACTAACGTCGCACACCCATGTGGGGCATCTAGTTTTAGATGACTAATGGAAGTGATAGTCCAGAATAGTGCAAAAAAGACGACGAAACTGCGAAGGGCGGTGTATTCAGAGGAGTATAAGGTTTCAAAAAAGTTGTAAGATTAGGGGTTGGATGTAAAAGTGGCGATAAACATTGTATCGAAATGGTATTTGGACAGGCTGTTCGAATGTGAGGGCCATTGCGTACAGCTGGCTACAGTAAGGTGCCTGCGTGCAACGTGTGTGCCTCGGCGCGAATAGTGCAACCTTTGCAGCTTCTACAGTGCCGTGAGAACTCGTCCGCCTACGGGTGTGTACGTCGTCTAAGCCGGTTAGAAGTCCTTATTAAGCTCTATCTGGGCCATTTTGCTTCTATGCCGCTTTGCTTCTACACCGTTATTTGTGCTCTCCTTGAGGGTCATAGGTTAATTCTGAAGATAAATTCCAGAAGAAACAGTTTATAGCCTTAAAGGTGGCGTGGCACACTTAGCTCTTTTTCTCTCATTTCCACCTCATTTAGTAGGCGCGAAAAAGAATTCCTTTCCGTACTAAATTCGCTTTCTGGTCCTCGGATTTGTCCGTCGAAGAGCGCACAAATTGCGTACAGAGCCTTTCAGATGATCACCAAAAGTGTGTATTAATTTCCATTTTTGCTGCCATGCTGTAGGAACAAATCCGATTGCTGTTTTAAGACAAGAAAAACAGGAGGGGTATTTAGGAAATTACTTACCCTTGTTGGTTTGAAACCACAGAAATAGTGCTTGGTACCGAGATACTTGCTGATGGCACGAATATCGTCACTTCCTATACCAATCTGCTCTTCGCGGCTGTGCTTTCCAATGCCTGTCCATGTCAACATCGAAGCCGTCTGAAATTCGCCAGAAAAAAGTGATTGCCTGGGAAACGAGAATTAATAGCCTTTGTCGTAGGCTCTCACACTTCGTGATAAATTCTTCTATCCGAACGAATCGGAAGAAAGTTCTTCTAGGTACGCTTTTGAATTGGGTGGGACAAGCCGCAATGTCTGCGAATGAAGCCATTTTATTTTTATGGTCGGTAAGGTGCTTTGAACGGATAATGTAGAATGTGCATATCATCTGAGATGGTATTGAAATGCGTACTTACAAGTACCAATTAATATTGATTCAAGAATTTGAGGAGCAGCTTTCATTTCATTTGAAGGTGCACCTAGGTTTTTTTGAGTTTTTGCTTTTCCTCCTACTGTGATTTATTAATTAAAAATCCGTAGGACTTACCTTGCTGACATAGCTTCGCTTAAAAAGCATGACGATGATTGGATGGAAGAAGCCGAAGAGATTTGGCGGAAGTAGTTCGGTAAACTGAATGGAAACAATCGATAACTAACTTACCAAAGGTGATAGTAGAGTCAATCACGTTAATGGCTACGGTACCTGAGTAATGTTTTCCAGTCTGAATAGTCTATGAGAAGCCATCAGCGAATTGTGCGCCAACTCTTCGAATGCCCGAGAAACTGCCTTTTGCTCATCGTTTAGGTGATCTTCCAGTTTCACTCCAAGTAGTCGAGTAAGATCGCTGGAAGTTTGTCGATTAAAATATGATATTAAACTTTGATGTGCTCTTCAAGAGATGACATATTCACGCTGGACGGTGCTAATTCACTGGCAAAGTGTAGGATTCGTTATGTTAAGAGTTGGAATAGACCGAAGTGTTGTAATGACAAGTGGTGCGCTATTACACATACATAGTCACGGGTTCGAATCCCACATCGACATCTGCATCGGCCAAACAGGCCTCTCATCCATTCGGGGTCGGTTATTCGATACCAGACTCGGGAGGAGAAGGGCACCGACTTGTACACCGGCTGGCCTCCGCAACATTGGATTGGCCGCATACGCATTCAATACGCTATCACGACTTTGAATGTAAATCGAGTGCAGGGCATATCCTCAAAGACTAAAGACTTTGATTGATGGAAGCGACACTTTTGCACACGATGTATGTTCCCTTTAGAACTAGGCGAGCAGTTCAATGGACCTCCTTTTAGACTAAAAGAAATTTCGGTAAAAGCGAATTACAAGTTCAACTAACCGAATAATGAATGACGAATCTGGATACTCCACTCCTTCAAATTCGACGAATGGCAAAGTACCTTCCTTAGAACGTGGAGAAAGCAAACAAGGGATGTTCTGAAAATATTATATCCAACTACAATTTAAATTTAGTTTCAAAACACAATTGACTAGCTACTTCCACTTTAATTACTTGATCCTGTCTATGTTCATGGACCCATATTGATACAACCAATTAATGATGTTTCTCTGTGCTGTTTTGAGCAAATAGATTAGATAGAAAGCATATTTTTACGGGCATCATGCTTTCAGTCTACCCGAGAGCTATTTTTAATTATTACAAAGAAAGTGATGTATGGAAAGAATGTGCACGGGAATTCGACTACACAGAGGCACTTATTGTTATAAGCTTTGGCTGGATTTAATGACGCAGTAGTTCTTGGTATGTCCAGTATATCAAGAGAAATAGCTCACTGAATCTTTGATTTTGAGGAAAATCTACCTCGTATTGTATCTCTGCCATACGAAGCCAGGTCTCCACTTTGAGACATGGGGCAGATGGACTTGGAAGGAGTTTTGTTCGAGGAAACTGGTATAGATAGACGACTCCTTAACAACATATAAGGTCACATAATAGTAGTGCTAATAAAGAAATCAAAACATTATTATTTGCATAGAACTTTGGGGTACGGAACCTTAGAGTTAGAGTTTGGCGTCTTCGGAACTTTGTCATTCTCTCGTGAACCAGGAAACATTAGTACGATTGCCGAGTTATATTTACAGTTATGGTGCTTAACTGACAAATATGAAAACGAAAATGGAAATGGTCCAAGTGACTGGTTTCCTGACAAATTTTCGTTGTCTATAAATTTACATCTAATTTCAATTGAAGGCCGATCTGACCGCCCGAAATGTAAAGATGAGCCGAACAGTGGGAAAAATAAATGAAATAGAATTGGGATCAATACAGAAATAAAAAGTTTTCAGAAAAGATGAAGGGGAACGGGATCAGAAGAATTCTACAATTAACAAGTAGAAGCATACCACTCTTCCAGTCCTCCTTAATAGGGCTTTTTCTTGGGGCTGTAGTCAGCCATCGATAGGGAATATAGAGAAGAAGAGCCAAGCCACCTGCCACTGCAGCCTTACCCCAGTTGGGTAATTCTTGCAATTGCTTGGTTAAATCGTCCACGCTTGTCATGCGCTGAACACAATCTTATTATAGCCGATATTCATCACTTCTAGTCACGAAATTTAAAGCATTAAAACGACGATAATACTCCGTAGAAATAAGTTATTCTGTACTTAAAACCATATACAATTCGCTGGAGTGGGTACGAAGGTTCGACCGACAGAAACTTAGAAATTTCATTGTCTACAACATCTATACACATTAGACACATTTAAATATCAAAAGATTAGGGATGTGGACATTATTGGTAATGGTTGATACAATGTGATAACGAATGGTAAAGGCTAATAAGGGGCGTTAGAAAAATAAGGTCAGAGAAGTTCGTTTCATTTTTCGTGAATTTGCACAATACCTAGAGTAATACGCCGAATCAGATGGAAAAAAAGATAATAAACAATAGGGTGTAATGCCATTTTATAAGGATTGTTTGAGGGCATCAGAATGCTAATGACACTTAGTTCGCGACATCTTCCTTCTTCATTGAGCACTTCCGTTATAATAGTGGAGCTTTAACACTTAAGTGGCTGATGTAGAATGTGTCACGATGAAGGATTGTTAATGGTGATGATTGATAACTGCCGATAAGGGATGATAAAGGGGATTGAAGTCTAGGAACCACTGAATCACTTCTTCTCTCCCCAACAATCGAGCCTTGCTACTTCACTGAGTAACGTGGGTGTGACTGGATCGCAGATAACAGATGACAGAAAAAGGTGACAGCTAAATAAAATTGATAAGAGACCTGAAATTCAAAACCACTCAGTTCCTAACTTCTTTCCTATTTACAACCTCTCCGTGACGCTTCACTGAGTTTCACATGATAGCACAGGCTGGTAGAGTAGGTTGGCAAAAAGTGACAAGAGCAGTGATAGTGACTGAGCAAAGGCAGTACCATGAGGGAGAAAAAACTAAAATCATTCATCGCTATCAGATAACAATGACTAAGCCTCAATACTTTTGGCTCAATCACCTTTCTTCTTTATTCCGGTACAAATTGCGACAAAATAGGTATATGCGGCCATAAACAATACGGGGGTCTCAACCGAGCTATGCATATGCCGAGCGCCTTCGTGGTCCTTTGTCAGACCTAAATTGCTAGCTCGATTGCTTTTCCGATTAGAAATTCCGTGATTAAAATTATATAACTTGTTTTGAAGAAAGAAGCGCCCGAGTATTCCAGCTCTGTGACAGGAAAGAGAGGAGCCCTGTGTGAGCCCGGCCATCCGAGCAGACCATTGGTAGGCCAGTTCTAAGTTCATGCTTCACTGTACGTATCCTTACCCTTCTTTATGTAGTGGTATTATTTCAAAGATAGCTTGGTACTGACTACTTGTTGACCGCAATAAATTGATCGGAAGGAGAGTTATACAATCTCGAGGCGAAGTATGAAGTCTTGAATCTTTTGCCATTAATCAATCCCGTTTTGGGTACCCTCTCAAATACGACCCCCACTAAGAATCGCAAACCAAATATCTTGCCTTTACAGCGACTTGTGGTGGCATGTCGGTGTACAAGTCGGTGCTTTCGTCCGCCAATACTGGTCTAGTAACAATTAGCCGACTCCGACGGGACGGAAGGGTCGGTTGGTTTGGGCAGTATTGGCCCGGGACTCGAGCACCTTAGAGCTGACCACACGTGGGATACTGCGTCTTTTGCCACTACATTATACCAAGCTACTTTCTGAGCTTACTCGTGACTCTTACTATCTCAATCTGTTGCAACCTTTTCCATAGTTGTGCAGACGGGCAGGCAAACATACAAACCGACAACCCGACAGGTCGACAAACAAACCGGCACACCAAGTTATTGGTTCAGATATAAAAAGGATACCAGTGAGCCCGACAAATGATAAAAGGGTCTGATATGGGGCTACAAAAGGCAGACGGTGAAAAAATGGCAAAGGCGAAAAAGCCTCTAACACTCGAGACTCAGTGAGTTATCAAAATTTACTCATTCCGCACAACAACAACAGCTCTGCTGAGGTGCGTGATTCCTTAATTATCAGTGATTATTTATAAAACCAGGAAGAGTCATAGTGAATGCTAATCAATCAATGTCATTTTCTTGGCAGCACCTCCTTCGTGCCACACCCTCTTCAAAAGGAAGCAAATCAAATCTACATCTACGCTGTATACCGCACCTGATTATAGTAATTTCATGTAGGAGTAAAGTTCTACCAGTTTCCCACGCTCGCTCAGCCTTTTCAAAAAACTGGAGCTTTACGAGCAAAAAACGTAAGTCTCCGCAGAGACATCGAAACAAGGATTCGAGGAGCCTTTCAGAAAATCGCCCATATGGGAAAGGCAAAGAAAGGCTTCTCATGTAATAGCAATATGCAATGGTTGATGAAGTGATGATGATGTTATGGAAAATCAACATATTAGTGGGGATAGAAAAATTCTTTTTGAACTTTTCAAATGTCACTCGGAAGTAATGAATGGACTGTTCAATTAATGGAAGAAAATGGATCGAATTTCTCAGTGATCAGGTTAAATTCAGTGCACTCGAACGCGTACATATAGGTGGGTATGTTTCTTCAAATTGAGAGAAATCGGTAGCGGTGATCTCTTGCTCGGTAAACATTGCGAGGACTCATTGAGAGGCCATGTAGTCAAATGTAACATTGCCCGACCCTCCGAAAAAAGTTCGCTGATAAGTCGATAGGATGACTATAGACTTGGGGAGTATTGGAAGTACCTACAAGAAACTGTGAATTTCTTCATTATTAAGAATCTGGTCCTGGCGGAAGTGTATCGGGTCAAGGACCAGCCGGAATTGCTGAAAAAGCGGTTCGAAGAAGGGCACGCTTATTTGTGGATTTCGGGTCAAAAGGTGTCGCATGTGTTGATTCGTAGTGAAGAATGATATTTAGGGTAAAAGAAGTTCAGGAACAAGGACGAGACTGATCTGATAAATTGTGAAGGTTTCTGGGCACGAGCAGTTATAAACCCCTGTTGGCATCTGGTCCAATTTTTAAGTCATGTTCTCCCTCCCAGTCGAAGCTTTTTCGTTTCTGGTATTGCTAGTAGGAAGTGGCCCGTTTTCAAAGAGGAAGTTTTAGAGAGAAAAGGAGGGGGAGGGAAAACAAGAAAATTTCCGGGAAGGTCATCTTGTTGATTTCATCTCTACGAGATACTGCCAACCGCCTCTGCTCATCTACAACTTTGAAGAAGTGGGGGTACGGGGTTACAGCAAATTCGTCTTTTAGAAAAAAGATAACGCTCGAAATCAGTGTAAAAGTGGAAGGCAAGGGTTAGGATACATCCTTCTCCTAAAATTGAAAGGACTCATATTCACTGGAATCGAACAGGGCTCGCAAACCCTGCTTCCAAAAATGGGAGCATAGTCGGATAGCATGCCTTCGTGAAAATGCTGAGAATGCTCAAGATACTATTCTGAACCACATGTTACTCTTTCACTGAGTACACCCGTAACCCTGTTCCATGCATAAAGGATGACACGCCGATGACAACATGACAACAACCTCTCGCACTACAGCAGCCGAGATGTTTTCGTCAACTCGTTGAAGTGCCGAAGTATTCAGAATCAACAATAATGAGGAAATGTCACTTGAAAACTCCCTGTCACTCCCCACAGCACTGCCACTTCCTTTCCATAGGAGACAGCAGAAAAAAAGTAAATATGTTCAAGAAAAAAGAAAAAGAAATGGGAGCTGTTCATGAAATTTCCTTCCTACGTAATCCCTCCATTTCCACCTCTCTGCTACATGCGATTGAGAGGAAAAAGGAAAGTAATCCCGGATATTTTCCAGGTAAATCATTCAGTGCTTCTCAAGAGAATTCCGTGAAAGCCAACTCAACGTTTGGTTACTGAAAAGTGTGCAGTAGGCTGGTGCTGAGCAGGAGAAGTTGGATTGGTTCCAATATTTCTTCGACAGAAAAGAAGCTATTTTTTCAGAATAATCTTCATTTCGATGAGCACTCTACCCAATGAATGAGATGTTGTAGCGGCAGAAGGCGCATTAAGACACAAGCGTTGTCAAGGATCGGATCTGATACTCACTCGGGCAACAAGTCTACCATCCCTTCATTGTCCGATTATTGGGGGCACATCCCCAGGAGGACTGATTAGACCCAAGGACTTCAACCTTCATTCCTTATTCTATTCATCGAAAACGTCGCACATCGTTGCAAACCAATCGAATTAGCTACAATGACCTCCCCCCTCCCCCCCTCGCCCCCTGCATCATAGATGACTTCAACGAATTTGAGTTTCACATTGCTTAAGAAATCTCGTTGACTTGCTTCCCACTAGACGTTGAAATGCTGTAAAGAGGAGAGGATCAAATAAAAGTGTTAGAATTCAGGCTTTGATCAATCCCGACTAAGGTGTGCGCCCCGCATTCGACTTCCATTCAGAATCGGAGTGACGTATTAAATGCGTATATGGCCTATGCAGTGATTCGCGGTGGCCAGCCGATGTACAAGTCTGCACTTCCAGATGAGTCTGGTACTTCTTGACCGATCCCGGAGAGATTGAGGGCTTAGTTGGCGGAGGATACAGGAGACTTTATCCTTTAGGATTATATGTAATGTTGTTAATGAATCCAATGATGTTTTCGTCATCCTAGGTCAGAGGATTCCTTCAAAGAAGCAGATTACAACTGGAAACTTCTCGTTCTACCTAGCTTTCTGACTTGGGTTGTAAACTTGGGTAATAGAGGAGTAGCGCTTCCGATAAGTAATTGAGGATGATTCATTTTTATAGGCCACTCATAGAAAAATGAAAAGCCTTGAAAAAGCGATTGCCTGAGACATTCATCATCACATTAACCACTCTCCAGACCTTTTTAACAAAGTGTCAAATGGTCAAACGTTGTCTAGCCTTGGTTTGGTCCTAATTTCCATTTTATTTATCCGGCGATGCCAAATGTTTATTTAGCTCGATTCCATGAAATTACTAGCAATTGGTTTTCTCAACCGGCGGTCAGAAGAGGATCCTACCAGAAGAGTAGAGATGACAGATTTGAATGCAAATATATGTATAGG